TGAGCACTGCCAGGGATGGGGCAGCCACAGCTTCTCTGGGCACCCTGTGCCAGCGCCTCAGCACCCTCACAGGGAAGAGCTTCTGCCTTATCTCCAACCTGATCTTCCCCTGTTTCAGTCTGAACCCATCACCCCTTGTCCTATCCCTACAGTCCCTGATGCAGAGCCCCTCTCCAGCATCCTTGTAGCCCCCTTCAGACACTGGAAGCTGCTCTGAGGTCTCCACGCAGCTTCTCTTCTCCAGCCCCAATGTTCTCAGCCTGGCTCCATTCAGGAGCTGCTCCAGCCCCTGAGCATCCTCGTGCCCTCCTCTGGACCTGCTCCAACAGCTCCATGTCCTCACGTTGGGGACCAGGCACACTTTGGGGTCTCATGAGAGCAGAGGGGCAGGATCCCCTCCCTGAGCTGCTGCTTGTACTCTGGGGCTGCAGCCCAGCACATGGGGGGGGCGCTCTGGTCTGGGTCATGGGCATCTTCTCCTGGCATCCCCATAGGAGCAGCAGTGGGATGCACAGACCCCCCCCAGCACACACAGGGCTCATTCCTCCCTTTTCCTCCCACCTTTGCGGCTCCCTTTGGGATGGGGAAAGGCTGTTCCAGCCAGCTCAGCCCCAAGGTCACGCGCTCCATCCCACGGCTGCTGGGGAAGGGAAAAGCTCTCCGACCGGTTTTCCATTCCCAACGCTGCGCCAGGGCTGGGTCCGGCCCAGTTCAAGGTTTCCGGTGCGTTGGGTGAGCAGGCGAGGTAAATACATGGTCACCGGTGTCACCCTGCTGCCCATGGGATCGTTTGGGATGGATGGATGTGTGTGTCAAATGAAACGCTGATGGAAACTATGTGGAGCACCGATGGAGCCGTGAGTCACGGGGCAGGTGATCCGAGATGAATTAATGCTTCTCCTGGAGCAGCTCCAGCTCCGAAGATCCCTGCACTGGGGTTGCTTCCCAATCCCACCATCCCCATCCCCTATATAAAAGGGGGGATATTAACCCCTTGTGCACCCTTAATGGTGCTTTGCCTATGGGTCAAAGTGCTCCTTGCGTGTGATGGCACCCGCAGCCGATCCCGGGGCTCCGGGATGCTCCATCCCTGCTCCAGCCTCTGGGCACGGCCCTTCCTTTCAAGCTCCGACGTTGTCATTACCGCAGTCATTGGCCTTGAAAGGATCCCATTAGAGAAATGGGAGCCGGTTGTAACTTCAATGCCTGCAATCAGCCCATTTCCTCCTGCTAAGGAACGCGGCACCAAATGCCGATAGATTCGGACAAGTCCATGCGAAAGCCAGGAAGCAGCTGGCGGGGATGGCCTGGAAAGATGCAGATGTTGAGGTTTCTTGCTCGAAAGGCGTTAAGAAACAGGTTATAAAAGCTCATTTTGCAGTCAAAAAGCACCTCAAACCCAAGCTGTTTCAAGGCACTGAGACCTGCTCCTTGTCTAAGGCGTTATCCAGCAAACACTGAGTCTTAAGGAATATCCCTCCCTAAATAACCTGGTGGGAACTGAGCTCCCAAACGGGACAGAAGGGCGAGACAGACCCCTCATTCTGCACATACAATCCCTTCCTTCATCCAAGCAGATGGGGAAGGTGGGCAGATGTGCCCGGATATTTTTAGGTTAAATCCTGCTTTAATTTCATCTTAACCCATGGGAATTTGGGTATTTAGCAAGGAAAAGAAACAGGCAGGAGGAGAGGGGGAATTAAAGAGCATCCGATACGGGGCTCGCACCAAAACCTGGGACAAACTGGGGCTGGATGGGTTGGGTCCAGCAGGATGGGATCACCCAAGGGAAAAGGAGCCTGGGAATGGGGTTGTCTCATCTCTGCTTCTCTTCCTCTCTTTTCTGGGTGTCCCCCCCCCAATTTCTTTCTCTTTGAAATGGAGTTTGAATTCCTTGGAAAGAGAATGATGTAAATGACCGCTGAGAACAGGAGCACTGGGAGGTGAAGAGCTGGAGCTGCTCAGAACTGGTTGGGAAAGCGGGGCAGGGAGCAGGCAGACGGGTTGGGTAAGTCCTGCCCCAGGGCTGCTGGGACCGGCTCTGCTGGGAGCCAGGAGCCGGGCAGCAGGAGCTCTTTGGGAGGACCAGGCGGGATTAGGACGTGCCACGGCCCTCGTAGGGCTCCTCCGCTTTGACCCTTCCATTCCTGCATGGAGCAGGGATGGAGGAAGGATGGATCCAACCTTCCCATCCCGGCTTTTCCCTAGGATAACGCAGCAAGATGATTCCCAAAGCTTCAGGGTGTCAGGATGCAGAGGCCATGTGTTCCCAAACGGAGCAGGGATGGAGGAAGGACAGATCCAACCTTCCCATCCTGATTTTTCCCTGGGATATTGCAGGAAGATGATTCCCAAAGCTTTGTGATGCCAGGATACAGAGGCCACGCATTCCCACATGGAGCAGGGATGGATGAAGGACGGATCCAACCTTCCCATCCCGGCTTTCCCTGGGATAACGCAGAGAGATGATTCCCGATGCTTTGGGGTGTCAGGATGCAGAGGCCATGCATTCCCAAACGGAGCAGGGATGGAGGAAGGATGGATCCAACCTTCCCATCCTGATTTTTCCCTTCGATAACGCAGGGAGATGATTCCCAATGCTTTGGGGTGTCAGGATGCAGAGGCCACGCATTCCCGCACAGAGCAGGGATGGAGAAAGGACGGATCCAACCTTCCCATCCCATTTTTTCCCTGGGATAACGCAGGGAGATGATTCCCAACACTTTGGGGTCTCAGGATGCAGAGGCCATGAGTTCCCACATGGAGCAGGGATGGAGGAAGGACGGATCCAACCTTCCCATCCCGGCTTTCCCTGGGATAACGCAGGGAGATGATTCCCAAAGCTTTGTGATGTCAGGATGCAGAGGCCATGCGTTCCCGCACAGAACAGGGATGGAGGAAGGACAGATCCAACCTTCCCATCCTGGTTTTGCCCTGGGATAATGCAGGGAGATGATTCCTGATGCTTTGGGGTGTCAGGATACAGAGGCCATGTGTTCCCAAACGGAGCAGGGATGGATGAAGGAATGGTCCGATCTTCCCATCCCGGCTTTCCCTGGGATAACGCAGGGAGATGATTCCCAACACTTTGGGGTGTCAGGATGCAGAAGCCACGTGTTCCCAAATGGAGCAGGGATGGAGGAAAGAGGGATCCAACCTTCCCATCCCAGCTTTCCCTAGGATAACACAGGGAGATGATTCCCAGTGCTTTGGGATGTCAGGATGCAGAGGCCACGCGTGCGGGCGCAGGGACCGCCAGGGGCTGTGCGCTGATGGATGCACACTGACGGGTGCACACGGATGCGCACGTTAAGGCGCATGTGACGGGCCCCGCGTGCACGCAGGCGAGCAGGGCAATGGCGGGTACATGCTACCGACACACGGCAACACGCGTGCACACACGTGATGCTGTGTGCCCCCCCCCCTTCAGAGTGTGCATCCCCCAATCCCCCCACCCAGGCCATGCAACCGTCGCCTGTGCATCCCCCAAGGCATCACCCCTCTGCTCTCCCAATGCACAACCAGCCCCCCCCAGTGCACCCCAATGCAACCCCCAGTGCACCCTACAGCCGTCCCCAGTGCAGCACCCCCAATGCACAGCCCCCCCATGCGACACAATGCAATCCCCAGTTCACCCCCAGTCCCCCCAGTGCACCTATAGCCCCCCCAGTGCACCCTCAGATGACCTTCTAATGCACCCCAATGCACACACCCCCCCAGAGCACTCTAATGCACCCCACAGAGCACACCTTCAGTGCACCCCCTATGCACACACCCTTCCAGCCCCACAATGCACCCCAAAGCACCTTCAGCCTCCCCATGCACCCCAGTGCACCCACAGTGCACCCCCAATGCATACCTTCCCAGTGCACCCAATGCAACCCCAATGTGCCCTGCAGTGAACCTATAGCACCCCAGTGAACCCAGTGCAACCCCAATGTGTTCCCAGTGTACCTGTAGCACCCCAGTGCCCTCCCAGGGCACACAATGCAACCCCAATGCACCCCCAGTGTACCTACAGCCCCCCACTGCACACAGCTAGCACAACCGCAAATGCCCCCCTGTTCACCCCAATGCACGCCCCAGTGCACCCCCAGCCCCTCAGTGCACCCAGTGCAGCCCCCAGTGTACCTATAGCCCCTCGGTGCTTATCCCCTTGTGTACCCCAATGCACTGCCCCAGTGCACTCAATGCACTCCCTATGCACCCCCCACTGTACCCACAGCCCCCCAATGCACCCCCTAGTGCACCCAATGCATCCCCCCAGTGCATCCCCAGTCCCTCGGTGCACCCAATGCACCCCCACTGTACCCACAGCCCCCCGATGCACCCCGTCAGTGCACCCCCAGCCCCCCAGTACACTCAATGCACCCCCACTGTAGCCACAGCCCCCCAATGCACCCCCCTAGTGCACCCCCACCCCCACAGTGCACTCAATGCACCCCCAATGCACCCCCACTGTACCCACAGCCCCCCAATGCACCCCCCTAGTGCACCCCCACCCCCACAGTGCACTCAATGCACCCCAATGCACCCCCACTGTACCCACAGCCCCCCAATGCACCCCCCTAGTGCACCCCCACAGTTCACTCTATGCACCCCCTATGCACCCCCCACTGTACCCACAGCCCCCCAATACACCCCCCAGTGCACCTCAATGCACCCCCCCAGTGCACCCCCAGCCCCCCAGTGAACACAATGCACCCCCAATGCACCCCCAGTGCACCCCCACCCCCCCAGTGCACCCAATGCACCCCAATGCACCCCCATTATACCCACAGCCCCCAATGCCCCCCCACTACACCCCAAATACCCCCCATTCATCCAAATACCCCCTCCACGACCCCCCCCGCGCTCCCATTCACCCCCAATGCCCCCCCCACTGTAGCGCCCCCTAGCGGCACCCCCCCCCCCCCCCCGCCCCTGGCCCCGCCTCCCTCACACACTTCCACACACCCTCGCGGCTCAGCCAATCAGGAGCCGCCGCGGCGCCGCGTCACTCGTGGGCCGGGGGGAACCTCCTCAATGAGCCACATTGTCGCGGGAGCCCCGCGGCGCGCGCTGCCCCGCTCCCGCTCCCGCGCCGCTCCCGCGCCCGCGCCCGCGCCATGATCGCCTCCCACCTCCTCGCGTACTTCTTCACCGAGCTCAACCATGACCAGGCACAGAAGGTGAGGGGGGAGCGGGGAAAGGGGGGGAAAGGGGGGTAAATGGGGGGAAAATGGGGAAAGAAGAGGGAAAATGGGGGAAAAGAAAGGGAAAAATGGGGGAAAAGAAGGAGGAAAATGGGGGAAAAGAAAGGGGAAAATGAGGGAAAAGAAAGGAAAATATGGGGGAAAAGAAAGGGGAAAATGGGGGAAAAGAAAGGGAAAAATGGGGGAAAAGAAAGGGGAAAATGGGGAAAAGAAAGGGCAAAATGGGGAAAAAAGAAGAGGAAAAATGGAGGGAGGGGAGAGGTAATAAGAGAAAAAGGAAAGGGAAAATGGGATGAAAAGGGATGAGGAGGGAAAGTGGGAAATGGAGAGAGGAGAAAAAGGGAAAAAGGAGAAAAAAGGGGAAAAAAAGGAGAAAAAAGGGGAAAAAGGGGGAAAAGGGAAAAAAGAAGAAAAAAGGAAAGAAGGGAAAAAGAAAAGGAAAAAGGAGAAAAAAAGGAAAAAGAAAAGGAAAAGGGGAAAAAAGAAAAAAAGAAAAAAGGGAAAAAAGAAGACAAAAAGAAAGAGGGAAAAAAGAAAAAGGAAATAAAAAATAAAAAGGAAGAAGGGGAAAAAGAAAAAGGAAAAAAATGAAAAAAAGGAAAAAGGGAAAAAAGAAAGTAAAAGGAAAAAGGGGGAAAAAAGACGAAAAAGGTACCCCCCCAAAAAAAAAAAAAAAGGAAAACTAAAGAAGAACGGGAAAGGAGTTTAAAAACCAGGAAAAGAGGGAAAAAAGGGGAGGGGGGGCAGCGGACAGGGGAAGGGGCTGGCGGGAGGCGCCGCTGTGGCCCCTCGGGCCCCGGTGCAGCCCGGCCGGGGCCGCCGTGCGGTACGTGCCGGGGCGGGCGGCGGCAGGACCCCGCGTGGCCGAGCCCCCCCCGCGGTGCCGAGCAGGGGAGGAGGAGGAAGAGGATGGGGGGGGGGGCTGTATTCGTGTGTGTGTCCCCATTCCCGAGGGATTCGGGACCCCCGCGCAGCACGTGAGCCACCCCGGAACCGGGATACCCCCGTCCCGTCCCATGTTCCCTATGGGGCACCGCAGGCTCTGCGCGTGTGGGTCCCCCCCATCCCCTGCACTGATGGAGATGGGAAACATCCCCTTGCCCTTCATGTACGGGTTCTGAACGCCCCAGAGCCTGTTCGTGGACCGCAAACGCGAGTCCGAGCTTCCCGTTGGGATGCACGGAGCCTTCGCCGCCAGTAATTCCAGAGTTCAGGCACTTGGGAGAGGCAGGTTTCTGCTCTCCTGCGGCTTTTGGGATGCGGCTGGGCTGCGCTCGACCAGGAGCAGTCCTGGAAAGGGAAATAATGCTGGAGGACCGTGTGGGAGCTCAGGCTCCTCCCGGCAGCGTTTGGGGCATCTGAGGATATGTCAGAGGCTGTGCAGCGATTCCTGTTCCCGTGGTTGCAGTGTCCGGGTGTGAGATGCTTGGGATGTGCAAATGCACCCTTTAAAAGTGCCCCGAAACCAAACCCGAAATGCATGGAGAGCCCTGGCTCGCTCCGTCGGGTCGGGCCGAGGGAGAAACACAACTCCCCACGTTGGCCCTTGGCCTGCATTAAATAGGAAGTAAAACAGGAGAGAACAGAGAGAAAAAAAGAACCCCAAACAAAGTGCATAGAAATAACTTCCCAATGCAAAGCGATCCGTAAGGAAATACGGGCTCGGCTTCTCCCTCCGCTCCCAAGTGTCCCGGGATTGTGCAACAGCCAAAGCCTCGGGAAGGGGTTGTGTAACCTGGTGGCAGAAATAGGCCAGCGGCTGGGCTCGGGCTCGGGGCAGCTGACGAGTTCCTTATCGGGAATAAGGGAGAGGGAAGGCTTTGGTTTAGGATAATTCGCCTTCGTTATCCCTTGGGATAAGGGCGTGCGAAGCCTCGGGAACCGGCTCCGCTTTGCTCCGGGCTCCAAAGCCCAAACGGAAAAGGGTTGCTGAGATTGTGCGTGTTGGGGAGGGGAAAGCAGTGGGAGAGACGGCTCTGCCCTCCCGGCTGGATCTCACCGCGTTATTTATAACCAGATGCCTCTGAATCCTCCTGCGAAGGCAAAGCCGGGCTTGGCCTCCAGCGAGAGCTCGGCTTCGCTCCCAGGAACTGAGGAGAAAGGGGGGACGCAGACGGGTTTCTGAGCTGCATGATTCCATAAATGATTCCTGGCTTGTAAATCCCCCAAGGCCCCAGCACAGGGAGATGTAAGGGTGGAATCCCAAAGGTTGTATCCACCCCAAAGGTTTTACCTTTACCACTTGGGAAGAGGTTTTTGGGCGATGTGTGCTTGAATCGTGCATCTTTTTGCTGTAGATCGGGCAGAAAAGGAGAGAAATTGCCCTTCCTAAGAGCTGTGATTTGTGTCCATCCAAAACAGCCCCGAAATGGGATTTCCTTCCCTATTAACGCAGAGCGGCTCTACCTGCTCCGCTGCCCCCACTGGGGGATGTCACCTGCATCCCCAACCTCTCTTTGCCCAGTGGGATGCAGGCCTCCCTTATCCCCCCCATGGGATCGTGCCGACTTTAATTGACCTCAGCAGCATCCTCCTGAGATCCTGGCTTGGAAGTCTGCTGTGGGTGAACCGTGTTCCATTGGGATGTGCCAGCTCACTCTGGGTCTCTCGATCCCTAAATCTCAGCCTTGTCATGCGAGGCCTTTGAGCTCAATAACCGGGCTGGCAGCAATTCCTCCTTCAAAAGCAGGAGGAATGGGCGATGGGGTTGATTTTCCTGCGTTTGTGGCTGTTCCCGGGCAGGTTTTCCTCTCTTTTTCATCCCATTCCTTTGCTGGGGGGGGTTGGTTTTGTCTCGCTGATTCCTCCCCGGCTCCTCTGCGGCTGTGGGAGTGACGCCTGAGTGCTAATTCCTGGAAACCAACTGAACAGCTCCTCTAGGGCCTGCCAAGGTCAGTGGCAGGACGGCTTTTCCCATCCGTAGCACCTATGGGGAGCATTCCCACATTCCCATCTCCTCCCACAGCTGAGCTGCTGCGGGGACCTGGGGCAAGGCTGTTTCCCCAACCATGGTGGGATGCTGTCAGTGTTGAGGTCTTGATGCACCCAAAGGGGAGATACTGCCTCGCATCTGCTCCGGAGACCTGGGTTTGGAGCAGTGTCCCACAGCCTGCTCAGGGCTGTTGGGAGCAGTTTGATGTCTCCAGCTCCTGGACACTGGAATGTTTCCCTGGTGAACATTACCAGGGTGCTGTGGGCTCAGCCCGGGATGGGTTCCTGGGTGACTTCTTCACTATGGGTGCTGGGCTCCACCTCCAGCGTGGGGTTCATGTGCTGTGAGGACGGGGAGGAACCGGCTGAGCAGGAAACCATCTGACTCACTCGGGTTCGAGATGACTCCGGGCCTGTGTCATCAGAGGCTTGGCTGCGGCGGGGAGGGCACGTGGGGCTTCATTGCCTGCAGAGCCCTCAAGAGCAGCCAAGGACGTGGGGTGGGAGCTGCCGTGGGGTCAGGGATGCAGCCCAGCATCAGTCCTGTGTCACCGGAGGTGGGGAAGGGGACGAGCCGGTTCCCAGCACTGAGTCAGCCCGGGCTGGGTACCGGTGACACGGGGGAGCGCAGGGGCTGAGGACGTGGCACAGGTTCCATCCCGTGCTGCCCGACAATGAAGCTGCAGGGTGCTGGATTACAGTCCCGAGGCAGGAAATCAAACACTCCGTGTGCTGGATGCGTTCCCAGATTCACCTCGGTGTCCCTGAATCCACTGTATCCCAGGCGGGATGGGAGCGTGGCTGCAAAGCATCCCCCTATGCGAGAAGCAGGGAGGGAGTTGGTGTTGTGGGAAAACGACGTGGTTTTTAGGAAAACAGCTTGTTTTAAGTGAAAAACTGGGATAGGGAGGGAAGGAATTCAAAGGGAAAATGATTTCAGGCAGATTGCCCTGGAGAAGGGTTTGCTTGTGCACGTGGTGGGTTCGGAGTGTTTGAGCCCTCCCTATACTTGAACATCTCCCCGGTGTTCTTATACACAACAAATACTTGACTTCGTTCCCAGAAAGGAAAAGAATCCAGCCCAGGACACAGCCAGCCCCCCCCAGCATTATGCTTTTCCCCCAAACACTGCTGAAATCAGGCACATTCAGCCCAAAACTGCAGCGGGGAGATAAGGGGGGGGGACCGGAAACGTTTGCTCCGGGTCTGTTTCTCATCAGACACGTGGTTTTGGGGAGATGCAGAGCAAAACTAAAGCTTAAGATGAGCCCCTTCGCGTTTCCAGAGCCTGGGGTCATCAATGGGGAAGATGCAGCTAAAACCTTACAGCATGAGGATGTCCTTCCCCCAGCCCTGCTGGCATTTACTGGGCAGGAAACGGTTGTGCTGTGCCGGAAGCCACTGTCACGCTGTCGTTTCCATCACTAAGAGCAGTCCTGCCCCATATCCCCACTGAGCAATGGGGCAAAGGGTCCCTGCTACCCTTGCGAGGGGAAGAGCATCCTTCATCCTCCCTGCTTCCCAGCTCTCGAGCCATTCCGCTGCCTGTGTGTGGTACGGGGGGGCAGCAATACAGGGTAGGTCTGTTGGGGTGGGTTTATCCAGCCCTGCAAGCAGCTGCGTTGATGGGACCATCTGCAAACATATGGTGAGGAGTTAACTCTTTTCTCCATAGAGAGTGGCACTGAGTTGGAATGAAGTTATTCCCAGCTTAATACGTTTGCAGCACCGGCCCCTTAGGGTCTAGTCCTGATTAAGGGGAGGCTTCAGGCAAAAGAGCATCCTCCAGCTGCAGTGCCAGTGCTGGAGCTGGAAGTTATCATCGATGCAAAAGCAAACCTGGCTTTTGGGTTACTTTAAGCTCTTTTTGGGTTACTTTAAGCTCTTTTTGGGTTACTTTAAGCTCTTTTTGGGTTACTTTAAGCTCTTTTTGGGTTACTCAGCTCTTCCCTCTTCCAGCTGGTGGCAAAAATTGGGCAACTGGAGGTTTCTTCGGCCTCGGGGCGGATGGAGCTTGCCCAACAGTGGCCTTGCAGCTGGGAAGGGCAATACCAGGCACTTCTCCAGCAGCAGATGCTGGGCATAGGAATTAGCCGAGCCTTTGGAGACAGCTCTGAGCCAGGAATTGCTTGGGTCGAGTTCCAAAAACCCCTTCAAACTCATTGCACCTACGAGCACGCTCCAATGATCCAGTTCTTTAACGAACTGTGGTGCCCTGCGTGCGTTGGCCTCGGCTCTGAGCGCGCCCAGACTCAAATCCGTGCCTCCTCCATTCAGTTTATTTAGATTTCCTCAGGGAAGAGCTATTATTTAGGATGGAAGCTTTCCAGAAATCCCAGTTCCAGCTCTTAACCCAGTGTGTGTTTGTCTGGGGCTGTCAATGATCTTAAATAGAGGTCAAACAACAGAGAAGGATGAAGGATGCTCGTGCTCCGGTGATGCAGACTGAATTCCCTTGTCTTACTCAATCTTTGCTACAGGTTGAGGTGTGCTTGGGTGCAGTGGGGGGGCAGACCTGGAGTCATGAACCAGGCCATGGGGTTGGGAAGCCTTGGGCATGAAGGTGGCCATGGCTCTTCTTCGGTGAGGGTCAAGGTGGTCTCGCACAGAAGGGTTAGGGTTAGGGTTGGGTTAGGGTTAGGGTTAGGGTTATGGTTAGGGTTAGGAAGGAGCTGAGCTGCTCCTGCAGGATAGGATGCCCTGAGCTGCCTTAGCTGCCAAGTGGGACGATGTCTGTGTCTGCAGGAGATGATCCAGGTTTTAAAGGGGCTTTGGGGATTAGAAGAAGGTCACCCTGTTTCTTATGCTGCTGGTTATTACTGGCATGGGGAGAGTGCTGTGCAGGGCCTGTGCCGGAGAAAGGAGCTGAAACCTCTGCCTTGTTCCCCTGTGCTGTGATTTCGGCAGCATCCTCACTGCCCTTTGCCTTGGGCAGGAATGTAGGAGCAAACAGCAATGGTTTCTTGTGCCTCTGAGCTTCTGGGATGAGATCCTCATGGGATGGGGCAGCACCTTGTGAGTCCGGGAGGAAAGGGTGGCCAACAGGAGAGGAACAGTGAGGAGAAGCTCTGCTGAGCCCTGCTGCTGCGGTACCCAGGGGATGGGAAGGGGAACACCTCTTTGGGACCCCATCCCCACTTGTGATGGTCCCACCAGCACCCCCTCATCTCATGGGGGCAAGATGCTGCAGGGAGGCAAAGCACCCAAAGCCCCCAAAGCCAATTGTCTGTCACCAACACCCAGCCTAGGTGCTGGTGCAGGGGCAGAGGGAGCCTGCTTGAGATCCGATCTGTGCCAAAGGGGCACGATGGTGGCTGGAGGAGAGGTTGTGAAAGGTCCCGACAAGCAGAGATAGCGCTATCTCTGTCTCACAGCTTGGAAACGGGGCTGGGCCGTCTGCCCTGGGTCGATGCCTTTGACTGATAACCGTCAGGGCAGCTCGATGGGAGCAATCCTAACCTTGGCGCTGGGATGGAGCTGGGAAGCAGCCGCCTTTCCCGCATTGATAGCCACAACCTTGGAACACGGGTGGCAATTTTCAGCAGGCGAGAGCAAACAGAAGGAGAAGGAGGGGAGTGTTTGACTTCCTGCTGCTGCGGTGGATAAGGAGAGGCTGGTAAACAGCCTGCACCGGGAAGCATCCAGTGTTCCTGGTTCTGATCCGTTCCTGGTCTCCCAGTTGCTTGCTTCCCATCCCTAATGGGAAGGAGGAGGCCGTCCCCATCGCACTGCCCAGCGAACAAACCAAACCCATCCTCTGAGCTCGCTGCAGCACATGGGGCAACAGGGGACTTGGCTTCCCAATCCCCAACAGAGCTGGGGATAAGGCAGGGGTTAAAAGGATACCGGGAGCATCCCAAGCCTGACCCAGAGCAGAGCTGCATCCGTGAGCGAGGTCACGCTATTACTCGCCCACAAAATGCCCATTTCCTATAGCGTAGCCCTATAAAAGAGCCCCGATCACGCTGGGTTTCTGATGACCCGCTCTTACGTGCCTGCAGACAGGTGAGCTTGCCTGGGTGGAGTTTTCCTCTCCACTTTGCAGCTGCCCTTTAATTAATGTTGAGTGAAGTTAATGGAAACAGGGGCATAGTTGGGAGCTGGTGCCTTGTCCTGCACTCATCTCTGCTCCCCTTCCCTGCTCTGGTGCTAAGGGATGGGGTTTATCCATGCCTTTCCAAGGGAGGACACGATGCTTCAGTGCCATTTATAGAAGGGGGTGGGCATCCTCATAGCCTCAGCATCGGGGTGTAAGCGATGCCCAGGAGCAGGGGGTGGATTTCTTCCCTTTCCGGCCACAGCACCCACTTGTGTCACCCCAGCGTTGCTTGCTCAAGGGGGTTGAGTGGCACCGTAACCCTTTGTAGGGGTGATCTCAGCAGCAAAGACATGAATGGGCAGTGGATTCCTGCCCGGCATCCTTCACGTAGGGAAGAGGCCCCGGGGGTCAAGGTCGAGGCGTAGGAAGAAGCTGGAAAAGCTCCTCCACAACCTCCTGACTCACAGCCGGGGCTGGGCTCAGTTTGGGTCCTGCTGTCACAACCTGTTTGGGTGCCCGTAGGTGAATGAGAGGGGAAGAGCATCCGGAGCTCCTCGGGGTTCAGTGTTCCCAAGCTGGTACCCAAGGGGATGCTGGTGAGAGGGATGCGGGTGGCACTCCATTGGTGGGTATCACTGATGTACCTGCAGATAAGCTGTTGTCCTTTGGGATGGGGCATGACCTGCTTCTTGCGTCACCCCCAGCAGATGTGAGGGGTGCTGGATGTGTCACAGGGGCTGTGCCCGTGTCTCCAGCCCTCCCGGTGACTTTCCTGGCTGTATCCCCCCCTTCAGGTCGACAAGTACCTGTACCACATGCGGCTCTCCGAGGAGACCCTGCAGGAGGTGTCCCAGCGCTTCGGGAAGGAGATGGAGAAGGGGCTGGGAGCAGACACCAACCCCACCGCCTCGGTGAAGATGCTGCCAACCTTTGTGAGGTCCACCCCGGATGGGACAGGTACCGAGAGGCCATGGAATGGGTTGGGATGAAGGAAACTTAAAGCTCCTCCAGCTCCAACCCCTGCCACAGACAGGGACCCCTTCCACTGGAGCAGCTTGCTCCAAGCCCCTGTGTCCAACCTGGCCTTGAACACTGCCAGGGATGGGGCAGCCACAGCTTCTCTGGGCACCCTGTGCCAGCGCCTCAGCACCCTCACATAAATCACTTCTTCCTTATCTCCAACCTGAACTTCCCCTGTTTCAGTCTGAACCCATCACCCCTTGTCCTATCCCTACAGTCCCTGATGAAGAGCCCCTCTCCAGCATCCTTGCACCCCCCTTCAGACACTGGAAGCTGCTCTGAGGTCTCCACACAGCTTCTGTTCTCCAGCCCCAATGTTCTCATCCTGGCTCCATACAGGAGCTGCTCCAGCCCCTGAGCATCCTCATGTCCTTGCTCCAACACGATGGGAGATGCTCCCTCCTGGCACAGCAGAGGGAGGTCTCGGTTGGTACCAACATGTTCCAGGAGTGAGGTCTGGAGCTCCCCATCCTCACGGCACTGCCCAGGCAGGGCTGGCACCAGGGCTGCCTCCACTGCTCATTCCTAGGGCTTCACCCTGCTTGTGCTCAGTGTGGGAATGAGGCTCCCAGCTCCCAGTGGTGGGATCCTGCCGTGCCCTCCCTGGCAGGACAGCGACAGTCCCAGCTCCAGCTCCTCCGACTGCATTGGCAGGGAAGGGGGGAGCGGTGCCAGCTGCTGCCTGAATGGCACCGGGGCCACGGCAGGAGAAGGGGCTCTGCATGCTCAGCTCAGCACAATGCAGCCTTTCTGCCTGCTTCCCGGCCTGCAGGCACATCCCTGCTCCAGGCACCAAACCCAAGCATCCCTATGGGAAACCCGGAGTCTGCCTCTCGGTGCTTTGGTGGAAGGGGGGGCTCTGCAGCATCGCCTCTTTCCCACTGCAGGGAATGGAATGTGGGTGCACCCTGAGCAGCCAACACGGCCCCTGGTCCCATTGGCGGCAGTTGCTCCGGTGCTGGCACCTCCAAGGGGTTCCTTGCTGAACCTCGGTGCTGATGGCAGCGGAAAAGATGGGAAAAGAGGAAGGTTGCTGATGGAAAGACCCCTCTTCCATCCCCATCCCCAGCTCTCATCAACCTCATCCAACACCTCAACACCCCCGTGTCTTCCTTTATATCCTATAGGAAGTCTACACCTCCCCTCCTTTAGTTTAAACCCATCACCCCTCATCCTATAGCTACAGGCCCTTCTAAAGCCTCCATCCCCATCTTTCTTATGAGTATTGGAGCATCCTTTCATCCAGCGCCATCCTGCTGCATCCCTCCTGCTCAGCCCCTCTGCTGCCCGGACTCCCAAAAGCTGGCCCTGGCTCCCTGCCCCGGGATCGAGATTCCCATCTATTTAAATGGTGGAGAATGTTTGTAATTACAGGGATAGCCGGAATGCCGCCCCTGGGCATGGGAACTATTGCAGCCAAAGGTGCTGGAGCGTGTGTCACCGCTCTCCGGAGGCAGGAGGTGGTAGGGAGAAGGTGCAGGCGCTCTCCTTGCCTTCCCAAGACAATCCCTGGCTTCCCTCACCGTGTTTGCAGCTTCTCCAGTGTCCCGGCTGGCATTTCCCACTGGAATCGAGCATGGAAACCATGAAGCAAAGGGGATGCTGGGAAGCAGGAGGTTTCCAAGCAAGTCCTGGGGGTAAAAGACCTGGGATTCCCAATGGGCTCCAGCTGGATCCAGGATGCGCGCAGCATCAGCATCTCTGCTGTTGGGTTTGGAGAGGAAGGGGCTGGAAGGGGGCACTTAGAGGCTCATTGGAAGAGCTCAATGTCCAGCTCAATGTCCTTCCTCCTTCTGCTTCTTTTATGGGCATCATTCCATTTGGATGGGCATCATTCCATTTGGACAGGCACCATTCCATTTGGACGGGCATCATTCCATTTGGATGGGCAGCATTCCCACCCAAAAGATGGGTTATTCCTCTGCTCCTGCTTGTGGCCACGCTCCAATACGATGCTACACCATCTGCAGGGGCTCCTGCAGAGCATCCCTGCCCTTCCTCCGCTCATGGCCGTAGCAGGAGTTGTCTCTGCTTTGGGATTATTGGGATTTGGGATCTAACACAGAGCCGGCAGCGCCCTGGGATCCAGGTGGATGAGGGGAGCTTAGGGAGACCCAAGGTCACGTCTGCAGCTTGGAGTCAAAACAGCCCCAGCTCCTGAGTGCTCTTCCCCTCCTTGGATCCTCCTTGGGTTCATTGTTGGTGGCTTCACTGTTCCTGGTGGGGGAAAACAGGCCCCAAATAAGCTTTTCCTTGGAATGCCGGTGATCCCGAGCAAGGGCTCTCCTTGCTTCCCTCCTGGTTTGCCCAGGCTTTGCTGGTGTCACCGGGGTTCCTCCTCCGTGCTGAAGCCGACACAAGGATCTTCTGGTGCATCCTCTGTTGAGCCCCAGCAGCTGAGATCCAAGGATGCTGCTGCAGCCCTTTGGTGGTCAGATCCCTGGGAATTCCAAGGATGGTTCTTTGGAACACCCTTCCCTTGGGCTATGGGCTCCGTTCCTGCCCATAACCAGCTGCCTCTGGAAGAAAACATGACCCATGGGCCTTAAAGCCTTAAAGAAAACACCTTTTTCATGCCCAGAGCCCCTCTCCTGGTTATTTATCACATTCCCCACCAAGGAATCCCATTGGGAATCACTACTGGGTGACTCTCGCTGCGGTCAGTGGGAGCTGCTCTTTGCTGGACTCGATTCTATCCAAACCAAGCTGACTCTTTTGTTGCTGCAATCCCATAATTTCATACCCAATCCATCATAAGCCTCTTTGCTGCACTGATTTAGTGGAGGTGCTGATGCATCGGGGCTCTTATGGTCCTTCTGCTCAGCTTGCTGCAAGGAGGCAGTGGGAAACACAGGGGGGCTCTGCCTCCATTCCCTGCATCCCTCAGAGCTGGTCCTGCTTTTCCTTATCCTCTTATTAGTTATTAAGCCAATTTGAGCAAGGATCCTTCCAAACCAAGCCTGCAGCCAGTTGGGAGCATGAGGTTTGGGGTGGTTGGTCCGGGCTGAGCAGCCTCTAAGGTGCTGGAGCATGATCCTGCACATGATGCTCTGGTCCCCTGGCCCTGCTTGTGTTTAGATCTTAGGCAGGGGTTGGAACCGGGTGGGATTTAAGGTCCCTTCCCACACAACCCATGGGTTATTCTGTTCTATTCCCGTGCTTTCTCCCACTTCTAAAGGCACCAAACTCACCTCCTGGGTGGTTTCCGGAGAGCAAACACACCTCGAATCCGAGCTCCGTGTTTACCCTCGCTGTTTGGTTTGGAAGCTCAGCATCGCCGCCTCCGTGTTATCACACAGCGAGGGAGCTCTAATCAGAGCCCAGCCAATGGAGCCCAGCACAACCCCATCCCTTCCAACATGGGGATTTTCCAAGGGAGGTTTTGCTGCCTTTTTCCTCCTGCAAATCCCAGGAATCCACCTCTTGGCTTCAGCAGATGCCACTCAAAACGCTTGTACCTCTCCTATGGCTGTTGAGCCGCTTCCAAGGGGGGTTTGGGTGTTATTCTGTGACAAGGGTCCCCATCCATGGCTCCTTGGCCTTTTAGGGTGGTTATCCCTGGATTCCCTGAGTTATCCCCACGGAGCCGAGCAGCCCCTGAGGCTCTTGGCTCCAGCCTGAGTGTATTTATCAGTGCTCTGAGGTGTTCTTCATGCTCTGCTAGCAAGCAGAACAGCATCGGTGCCAGCAGTAAAGGGAAGCAGGAGCACGGCTTTGACCCATGTTAGGGGCAGAGCGTGATGCCAGTGGTACCCAGCCGAGCATCCCATCCAGCTCTGCCCACCCGTGGCCAAGGTTAAATCCCTGCTGTGGGCATATCAGGGCCAGGAGGACAGCAGGAGCTTGAAGGAGGTGTTTTCAGCCTCTATGTGCAGAGACGTGGCCAGGGCATGCCCTGTGGCTGGCAGACACAGGGAGCTGCCAAACAGGTTTAAACCTCATCCCTGCAAAGGGTCAGCGTGGGCTGGAGGCGAGGAGGAGAAGTGAATGTGCAGGGGTTGGATGCCCCAGTGCTGGAGCTCTCATGCTCGGGGCATCAGCGCTGCTCTCCAGCCCTGCAAGCACTGGTTTGCACATCTCTTGCCCTTGCTGCCCTGCTTGGAGCGATGCTGAGGATGTTATTGAGGAGGGGTGAGCTGTGAAGCTTTGATGGGGGCCGGGTTTGGAGTGATCCATGGTTCTGGGTGATGGGGAGGTGTGTGTTACCCATAGATTCAATGGGGCTGGGAAAGACATTTAAGCTCACCAAGTCCAACTGTTACCCCCAGTGCTGCCAAGCCCATCACTAACCCATGGCCAGAGATGAAGTGAGGGTCAGCCAGAGCCATGTGGGGACATGGGGCTGGTGTAACCCTAACCATGGCACTGAAGCCAGAGCATGGAGGGGACTGGTACCACCGGGTACCACTGGGGGTACTGGTACCACTTGGGAGCTGGCGCCCAACCTGCCCTGCATCCCTGCTAGGGTGATGCGCTGACCCCGCAGCCCTCCATCCAAGCATTAGGGCTGTTAACACAGCATCGAGCCCCTCTTGTTCATCTTCTCCTTTCCTTGGAGCACCAGAACTGCTTCTAATGGAGCTTTTCAGCTGCACAGGGATGGCTCCGGGTCTGTCCCTGCCCCAGTTCCCTCGCCCCGGAACAGCTGGACACCCCTTGGGCCATTGCGGCTCAATCCCTGGGGATGCTGCCCTGGTGCCATTGGAATACCAATAAACCACCGGTTTTGTTCCAACCGGAGCCCCTTTGTGTGAGCATCGGCGGGCACAAAGCGGGCCCCGGGGGCTGCGATCGGCCCCGGGGGAGCCAGCACAGCACATTCAGTGCATTCAGCAATGCAGCAGTGCTGATAGAGGGCTTTCCCCCCGGCCTCTCCCCACGCTGTGCCCTGGTCAGAGCAGCCAGCTTGGCTCTGATCCCACATCCTGGCTTTGGAACCCGGCCTTGGTGAAACAGCAGCAAACAGGAGACGGGCCCGGCCCTTGGGTCTTGGAGGCAGCGGATCCCAGGGTTTGATCATGGAATGGGTTGGGATGAAGGAACCATAAAGCCCCTGTGTCCTTGAGCACTGCCAGGGATGGGGCAGCCACAGCTTCTCTGGGCACCCTGTGCCAGCGCCTCAGCACCCTCACATAAATCACTTCTTCCTTATCTCCAACCTGAACTCCCCCTGTTTCAGTCTGAACCCATCACCCCTTGTCCTATCCCTACAGTCCCTGATGAAGAGCCCCTCTCCAGCATCCTTGTAGCCCCCTTCAGACACTGGAAGCTGCTCTGAGGTCTCCACGCAGCTTCTCTTCTCCAGCCCCAATGTTCTCACCCTGGCTCCATACGGGAGCTGCTCCAGCCCCTGAGCATCCTTGTGGCCTCCTCTGCACTCCCTCCAACAGCTCCATGTCCTTACATTGAGGACCGTTCACTTGGGAGATGCGGGAGTTCCCACAGCATCAATAGGGTCAGGAACAGTCCCTGCTGCCTCCTTCCTTGTAAAGCTTGAGGTTGGAGCTCTTCTCCCATGGATTTGGGCACAGGCTCGTCCGGATGGGGCTGACGGGGTCTGTCCTGCAGCAGATCCATCACGCTGAATGGTTCCTCTTGTCCCGCAGAGGACGGGGACTTCCTGGCCCTGGACCTTGGAGGCACCAATTTCCGTGTGCTGAGGGTGAAGGTGTCGGACAACGGCCTGCAGAAGGTGGAGATGGAGAATCAGATCTACGCCATCCCCGAGGAGCTCATGCGAGGCAGTGGGGTGCAGGTGGGTTCACCCCTTCCCTCCCATCCCCACTGTGCTGGGCTTCCCCCTCCTCGACCCCGAGCTGTGCAATGGGGCTGGAGCAGGGCTGTGCATCCTATTGCTGCAGCATCCCTGTAATTCCTTACCTTCCTTTTGGAGCTGTTAGTTCCTAGGGAGGACCACAGAGGTGTGATGGGGGTGGCAGACACTGGTCCCAGGATGCAGGCACTGCTCTGGTGCATCCCCTCAGTCAGGGGCACTACACAAGGGCTCACTCTTTGCCCTTTTATCCCCAGCTCTTTGACCACATTGCTGAGTGCTTGGCCAACTTCATGGATAAGCTGAAAATCAAAGACAAGAAACTCCCCCTTGGCTTCACCTTCTCCTTCCCGTGCCACCAGACCAAGCTGGATGAGGTGAGTGAGGGTCCCACCTCCTTATGGCTGAGCCTGGGATGCAGTGGGATGGAGATGCCCCACGGCTGATGGGGTGTGGGTAGCACACAAGGGCTCTGATGGGAGCAAAGGATGAGCGCTGGGGCTCACTGGGGGTATAGGAGGAGCTCCCTGCCCTGCTCTGCATGGACACCTCCATAGGGAGCAGCAGCTCAAGGAGAGCGGCTCCAGCAGCCAGAGGCAGCCAGGACGTGCCGAGCATCACATCCCGCATGGAGCAGCAGGGAGCCAGGGCTGTCAGCTCCGCTCAGGCGCAGGGATGCAGCATCCCACGTGGCCCCGCTCCTGCTCCTGGCAGGGGGCTGGTGCTTTCCTTGCCCTTATCCCAGCCGGCTCCCTGGGATCGGGCAGGAGAGCGGCTCCATGGAGCGCTGGGAATGCAGCGCATCCTCGGGAGCGAGGGGATGGTGGCGTTTGCGACCAGGGATGGGGCTGGTCGTGCTCAAGGGATGCAGGAGGAGGTTAAAGAGAGAGGAAGGAGGTTGGAGAATGAGGAAGGAGGTTAAAGCCTTGCTCATAGTGGATGTGGGGCTGTAAAAGTGAAACCATAAAGAAAGAAGCTGGGAGAGGAACCATCTGTCCCCAGTGTCCTTGCCCGGCTTCTCCCCGTGCTCAGTTTCCCCATGTGTAAAGCAGGGAGGGGGCTGCCTCGCTAAAGGCTCCCGGATGCAGGATTTCAGATGCAATTGAGCCTGTTCCCTTCACCCAGGGCTCAGATCAGCCTCAGGCTGGGCTCTGCTGTGTGGGTGCCTGCAGGACCCCCATCGGCAGGGACGGGTCAAGGAGCACTCTGTAGTCTTGGGAACAGGATTTGCTGCGGGGCTCCATAAAACCCAGTCACGGGAATCAGGAGCCACGAGCTGCTCCCAGGCTGTTTCAGAGCCATAAACCTTATCTGCACAGGGAGGCGGAAATCACTGCTGATAGCGCAGCTGGAACAGGGAGGGACTCACCCCCGGGGCTTTGTCTCCATCCATCCATCCATCCATCCATCCATCCATCCATCCCTACCTCCCTCCATCTGTCCATCTGTCCGTCCATTTATCCATCTATCCATCCATCCATCCATCCATCCATCCATCCATCCATCCATCCATCCATCCCTCCCTCCCTCCCTCCACCCATTCCTCCATCCATCCATCCATCCATCCATCCATCCATCCATCCATTTATCCATCCATCCATCCATCCATCCATCCATCCATCCATCCATCCATCCATCCATCCCTCCCTCCCTCCCTCCCTCCCTCCACCCATTCCTCCACCCATTCCTCCATCCATCCATCCACCCATCCATCCATCCATCCACCCATCCATTTATCCATCCATTTATCCATCCATCCATCCATCCATCCATCCATCCCTCCCTCCCTCCAAGCCCTCAGGACAGGGCTCTCCTCTGAGCCTTCCTCCTTGCTCTTCCTCCACAGAGCATCCTCGTTACGTGGACAAAGGGGTTCAAGTGCAGCAGCGTGGAGGGGAAGGACGTGGTGTCGATGCTGCGCAAGTCCATCAAGAAGAGAGGGGTGAGAGGCAGGGCAGCTCCATCACATCACCCCCGGGGCGGTGGGGTGGGTACTGAGCCCTCCATGGGGCAACAGAGGTGCTGTGGTGACTGGATCTCTTCCGTCAGGACTTTGACATCGACATCGTGGCCGTGGTGAACGACACCGTGGGGACCATGATGACCTGTGGCTATGATGATCATAACTGTGAAGTTGGCCTCATTGTTGGTGAGCAAAGGGGGAGCAATTGGGGTCCGTTTGTCTATGAACTGCACAAGGAGGGGATGTGTCTTGTGGGTTTCCAGGGGCTTCTGTGGGGACGAAGGAAGGGGAGGGTGATAAAAGCCAGCATTGCCCCAGTGATTGCTTGCTTCCATCTTCGCTTCCTGTGGTGCCTTTGGATGGATGGAGCAGCTCTGCTCTGGAGCCAGGCTGAGAGAGCTGGGCTGGGGCAGCCTGAAGAAGAGAAGGCTCCTGAAGGGGAGACCTGAGAGCAGCTCCAGTGCCTAAAGGGGCTGCAGGAAACCTGGAGAGGGGCTTGGGACGAGGGCCTGTAGGGACAGGCCAAGGGGAATGGCTCAAACCTGCCTGAGGGGAGACTGAGATGAGCTCTTAGGCAGAAGCTCTTCCCTGTGAGGGCACTGAGGAGCAAGTGGAAGGTGTCCCTGCCCATGGCAGGGGTTGGGACTGAATGAGCTTTAAGCTCCTTTCCAACACAAACCAGTCTGGGGTTGTATCACTATGGGGAGTAAGGGAAAGGCAGCCTCCTCTCTCACTGCATCCCTGTGCTTGGTCCAGGTACCGGTACCAACGCCTGTTACATGGAGGAGATGAGGCACATTGACCTGGTGGAAGGCGACGAAGGCCGGATGTGCATCAACATGGAATGGGGAGCGTTTGGGGACGACGGCGTCCTCAAAGACATCCGGACCGAGTTCGACCACGAGATCGACATGGGCTCGCTCAACCCCGGCAAGCAACTGTGAGCAGTGCCTTGGCTGAGCTCGGGGTTTGCCCTGCATCCTGTGTCCTTCATCCTCCATCCTCCATCCTCCATCCTTTCTATCCTCCATCCCCCATCCTCCATCCTCCATCCTTTATCTTCTCTATCCTCCATCCTCTATCCTCCATCCTCTATCCTCCATCCTCTCTATCCTCCATCCTCTGTCTTCTCTATCCTCCATCCTCCATCCTCTATCCTTCCTCCTCTATCTTCTCTATCCTCCATCCTCCATCCTCCATCCTCTCTATCCTCCATCCTCCATCCTTTATCTTCTCTATCCTCCATCCTCTATCCTCCATCCTCTCTATCGTCCATCCCCTATCTTCTCTATCCTCCACTCTCTATCCTCCATCCCCTATCCTCTCTATCCTCCATCCTCTATCTTCTCTATCCTCCATCCTTCATCCTCTATCCTTTCTATCCTCTATCCTCCATCCTCCACCCCCTATCCTCTTTATCCTCCATCCCCCATTCCCTATCCTCTCTATCCTCCATCTTCCATCCTCTATCTTCTCCATCCTCCATTCTCCATCCTCTATCCTCTCTACCCTCCATCCCCCATCCTCCATCCCCTATCCTCTCTCACCCCCCACCCCACCCCACCCACCCCCACCCCCCCACCCACCCCACCCACCCCCACCACCCACCCACCCCCCCCACCATCCTCCATCCTCCATCCTCTCTATCCTCTCCATCCTCCCATCGCACTGCCGTCAGCAGCACGCAGGGGCTGTCCTAGCTAACTGGGTCACCGCATCCCGTGCCAGCTGCACCGATGCAAACAGGGGCCATGCCACACACTTGGGTTGGTTCTCCCAGGTGAACCCCTCAGCACGTGCTTCCCTCGTGAGCTGAATGCCTTCATTCCTGTCCCGTTCCCCCTGCCAACGAGGCGCCCTGCCAGGCACGGCAAACACCACCACCCAATGCCTGCATCTTCTCAGGGATGGGATAAAGAGCTCAGGAAAGACATTACCTGATAGCCTTTGGGTTTGGAAGGCTGGCAAATGGTTTTGATTATGGCAAACACACCGTGGCCTTCCCCCATTGCCAGGTTTGAGAAGATGATCAGTGGGATGTACATGGGAGAGCTGGTGAGGCTCATCCTGGTGAAGATGGCCAAGGAAGGGCTTCTGTTTGGAGGAAGGCTCACACCAGATCTGCTCACTACGGGCCACTTTGAGACCAGATACATCTCTGCTATTGAGAAGTAAGTAGGATCCAGAGGGTTTCCTGGGATCCCAGCCCACATCCCGACACTGGTGCTGAGGGAATCATAGATCCCGCACTGGTTTGGGTTGGAAGGGACCTTAAAGCTCATCCAGCTCCAACCTCTGCCATGAGCAGGGACCCCTTCCACTGCAGCAGCTTGCTCCAAGCCCCTGTGTCCAAAAGGATGAAAGCACTTTGCTGTCTGTGTGATGAATAAGGAATTAGTGGTTTAATTGTGCTCTTAGGCGGCAAGCAAGGCCATGCTTGGGGAAAGCTTTAGGGTGTGAAAGGAGGGAATGGAGCCATGACTTGTCATTTGAGACTTGTAAAATACAGAGTTAAAACATAGCTCTGATCCCTGATGAAAAAGACATTTTTAGCTGGAAAGTGAAGTTTTCTGGATAAAAATGTGTACTAGTCACAGCCAGAAGCCCAGTGTGTTCCATATCCATAGATATGTGCCTTTAGGTGATAGGGCCTGTGAAAAACCCCAGATTTGTTTCCCTCCTGAAGTTGCTTAAGCTAAGGATTTTGTACTCCAAGGAGTGCTTTAGGCATGAATAAGACCTGTAGTTAAGTGCTACTCAGAAATCATAGAACAGTAGAATGGGTTGGGTTGGAAGGGACCTTAAAGCTCACCCAGCTCCAACCCCTACCACAGGCAGGGACCCCTTCCACTGGAGCAGCTTGCTCCAAGCCCCTGTGTCCAACCTGCCCTTGAGCACTGCCAGGGATGGGGCAGCCACAGCTTCTCTGCCCTCCTCTGCGCAGGGAGAAGGAAGGGCTGCAGAAAGCCCACGAGATCCTGAGCAAGCTGGGCCTGGAGCCGTCCCACGAGGACTGCGTGGCCACGCTCCGCATCTGCCAGATCGTGTCCACGCGCTCGGCCAACCTGTGCGGGGCCACGCTGGCGGCCGTGCTGCGGCGCATCAAGGACAACAAGGGCGTGGAGCGGCTGCGGTCCACGGTCGGCGTGGATGGGTCCGTCTACAAGAAGCATCCTCAGTGAGTCCGTGGGGAGGGGGTCAGAGCAACATAGACCCAACGGGGTTGGGAAAGAGCTTTAAGAGCATCAGATCCAACCGTTCCCAGCACTGCCAAGGCCACCACTGACCCATGGCACTGAGGGGGTGTGAACACTTGCAGGGACCCTGCCCTGGGCAGCCTGTTCCAATGCCTGAGCCCCTCTGGGCAAGGAATTGTTCCTCAGCTCCATCTAAACCTGCCCTGGTGCAGCTTGAGGCCGGTTCCTCTTGTCCCATCCCTTTGGAGCCTGCTCCTGGCTCCATCCTCCTGCCAGGCAGTTGTAGGGAGCGATCAGACCCCCCCAAGCCTATTCCTGCCAGCAGTGGGTCAAGCTTGGCACAAGCAGAGCATCCCCAACTCTTCCCATGGACCCCTCTGATGCCAAAGGAGCTGCAGTCAGTTACAACCCCAAAGGGTCCGGCTGTAACCCACATCCTCCCTCCTCCTCCTCCTCCTCCATAGCTTTGCCCGGCGCCTCCATAAGACGGTGCGGAAGCTGCTGCCGGATTGCGAGATCCGCTTCGTGCGGTCGGAGGACGGCAGCGGCAAAGGGGCCGCCATGGTGACGGCCGTGGCCTACAGACTGGCTGCCCAGCACAAGGCACGGCAGAAGATCCTGGAGGCGCTCAAGCTGAGCCACGAGCAGCTCCTGGAGGTGAAGCAGAGGATGAGGATGGAGATGGAGAAGGGGCTGGGCAAGGAGACGCACGCAGAGGCGGCGGTGAAGATGCTGCCCACCTACGTGTGCTCGACCCCAGATGGCACAGGTAACACCTTGTGTGTTCTAAACCCATCCTTGCATAGGGCTAAGAGGTGGCATCGCTGCTCCCAGCATCCGATCCGTGTAGGGAAGGGCTGGGAGCTTTGCCATGACCGGTTCCCTGTGTGTTGGGAGTGGCACAAAGCTTTGTAGCCTCCAGTATGGTACTGGGAAAGGCAGTGAGCCTCCAGGACGTTCTGCACTTGCCTTAACACAAAGCCTGGCTTTCACTGTGGTCTCACCACCACCGCAGGCTCCTCACCACCATTGCCCTGGGTTGTGCTCCCTGTTCCGTCAGTGGCTTGGGTGTGCTCCTGCCTCTTGGCGTGGAGCCCTGGGATCTCCCTGGGTCCGGAGCAAACCTCTCCATCACCTTCCTGCCTGCACCCGGTGTTCTCCGCTCCCAGCCACGTCAAGGTTTCTGGTCCTTTCCCAGGACTAGGGAAGAATCGGATCAGCTTTGGGCCGTGCTCAGGATGGGATCGTTGGGATCGTGGTCGGGATCTCTCCTAACGGCTCTCCCTTGGCTTCCAGAGAAAGGAGATTTCCTCGCCCTGGACCTGGGAGGTACCAACTTCCGCGTGCTGCTGGTGCGCGTGAGGAACGGGATGAGGCGCGGCGTGGAGATGCACAACAAGATCTACTCCATCCCCGTGGAGATCATGCAGGGGACGGGGGAGGAGGTGAGGATGGGCAGCTCCAGGTGGAAAACTGCATGGGGAAGGCTTTTGCTCTCCTGCCTTTAGAGCAGCGAGTTCTGGCCAAGGCTCTGCAGTCTGAGATGTGCTTTAGGGAGCCTGAGGCTGGTTTATAGGTTAGAAATGGTTCTTATTCCCAGCTGGTCACCTCCATCTGGAGCACCTCCCGTATGAAGATCGGCTGAGAAAGTTGGGGCTGTTCAGCCTGGAGAAGAGAAGCTGCGTGGAGACCTCAGAGCAGCTTCCAGTGTCTGAAGGGGGCCTATAGGGATGCTGGGGAGGGACTCTTCATTAGGGACTGTAGTGATAGGACAAGGGGTAATGGGTTAAAACTGAAACAGGGGAAGTTTAGATTGGATATAAGGAGGAAATTCTTCCCTGTGAGGGTGGTGAGGCACTGGAATGGGTTGCCCAGGGAGGTTGTGAATGCTCCATCTCTGGCAGTGTTCAAGGCCAGGTTGGACGAGGCCTTGGGTAATATGGTTTAGTGTGAGGTGTCCCTGCCCATGGCAGGGGGGTTGGAACTTGATGATCTTAAGGTCCTTTCCAACCCAAACCATTCTATGATTCTATGATCCCTTCTGGGTGCAGGATGGGACCTGCAGGGAGGTACCACAGGGATACAACCACGGTGGTGGGGAAGGGGATGGAAAGGAGCTGGTTTGGGCTTGCTCACCTCACACAGCAGCATCCTGCTCTGTTCAAAGCCCTGTTGGGAATGGGTCAGGCTGGCTGCATCCCGCTGAGTTTCTTGCTGTGATGGTGACTTCTCTTTTGGCTCTGCACTCCCAGCTCTTTGACCACATTGTCCACTGCATCTCCGACTTCCTGGAATACATGGGAATGAAGGGCGTATCGCTCCCGCTTGGATTCACGTTCTCCTTCCCTTGCCAGCAGACCAGCCTGGATGAGGTAACCCCAACCTACCTGGGTAGGATACGTACCCGGTACCCAGGGCTGGCTGGCACTGGTTGCTGTGGGCACGGGGCTGCTGTTCCCATCGGCCGGGATGATTTATTTACCACGGGGCATTCCCACCGCAGGGAATACTCCTCAAGTGGACAAAGGGTTTCAAGGCGACCGGGTGTGAAGGAGAGGACGTGGTGAACCTGCTGAAGGAGGCGATCCACAGGAGGGAGGTGAGCATCCCCATCGCGGCGAGGAGGCTGCTGCTCGCTCCCACACCCCGGTGATGTCTTTGGCATCTTTAATTGGCCTGTAAAGCTAATTAATGGGCTGAGCACAGGCCTAATGAGTGTCTGAGCTTCAACAGACACCCTTAGTCATCACTAGAGCTTGGATTTCCAGACCCCGGAGCTAAGAGGTGGCTCCCGGCCAAGGCTGGAGCAGACTTGTCTCTATGTGACTCAGGGAGACACCAAAGCTCATTTCCTTCAGTGCAGACCACCCAAAGCGCACGCCCCGGGGGCTGTTCCTGGTGTAATAACCTGCATCCTTCAGGAATAACCCCATTCAATCCCACCCCTCTGCAGGAGTTTGACCTGGATGTGGTGGCGGTGGTAAATGACACGGTTGGCACCATGATGACCTGTGGATACGAAGATCCGTACTGTGAAGTTGGGCTGATTGTTGGTGAGGAATGAAACGTTCTCATGGAGTTCCTCTGTTGGGGTCCCAAACCTGCCCCCATGGGGTGTTCCTGGATGCGGGAAGTCTCTGAGGGCTTTCTCAGTAGCCCCATTGAAAGCTGCTGCTCTCTCTGCAGGCACAGGCAGCAACGCCTGTTACATGGAGGAGATGAGGAACGTGGAGCTGGTGGAAGGGGAGGAGGGCAGGATGTGCATCAACATGGAGTGGGGAGCGTTCGGGGACAACGGGTGCTTGGATGACATCCGGACCGAGTTCGACCTGGCGGTGGATGAGCTGTCTCTCAACCCTGGGAAGCAAAGGTGCGTGGTGGCTTTATAGGGCTGGGTGTGAGGCTGGTTCCTCTTGTCCCATCCCTTGTTCCTTGGGAGCAGAGCCCAGCCCCTCCTGGCTCCATCCTCCTGTCAGGCAGTTGTAGGCAGCGATCAGGTCCCCCCTGAGCCTTCTCTGCTCCACCTGAACCCCCCAGGTCCCTCAGGCAGTCCCCATCTTTCTGATGCCCTCTCCTCCGCAGGTTTGAGAAGATGATCAGCGGGATGTACCTGGGGGAGATCGTCCGCAACATCCTGATGGATTTCACCAAGCGAGGGCTGCTCTTCCGGGGACGGATCTCAGAGAGGCTCAAGACCAGAGGGATCTTTGAGACCAAGTTCCTGTCGCAGATCGAAAGGTGAGGACCGAGAGGCAGGGGGGATCCAGCTGCGCATCGGAGATGGAGTTGGGGCACGAGTCCCGGGCGCTCAATCCGGAGCCAGGATGGCAGAGGGGGGTGCGATCGTGGTTCTGACAGCACCGGTGTTGAGAGACAAGGAAGTGCCTGGGGTTGGCAACACAGAGGCCTCTTTATCCTCTGTCCTGGAATAGCCCCATGGATTAGGACGTGCCATCAGATCCGCAGCCAGCTCTGAAAGCCGAGTTAAAGGGGAGCGGTAGAGCCACACGGGATGTAGATAAGAGGAGCTGAAGCCACACGTCCACGTTGCTCCATCTCCTCACGCTGCCCATCCCTTTGCCTCCTCTCTAGCGACTGCTTAGCCCTGCTGCAGGTCCGCTCCATCCTGCAGCACCTTGGCCTGGAGAGCACGTGCGACGACAGCATCATCGTGAAGGAGGTGTGCGCGGTGGTGGCGCGGCGCGCGGCGCAGCTCTGCGGCGCTGGCATGGCTGCCGTGGTGGACAAGATCCGCGAGAACCGCGGCCTCGACTTCCTCAAGGTCACCGTCGGCGTGGACGGGACCCTCTACAAGCTGCACCCGCAGTGAGTCAAGGAATAGGGTCCTCCAAGGGGGTTTAATGCGCTCAGCTTCATGGGCCTAAAGGATGGGGCGCCCCGATAACACCGCATCAACCACATCATCAGCAGGTCTAACACAAAAAGTGAGCCCATGGTCTGGATCAGGAAGGTTTATGACCAAGCAAAACTATAACCGTGCCTGAGCTGCAGGGTGGTACTTGTAGGACAGTGACGGTTAGCAGGGATTAAGGGCACAGACTGATCCTAAATAAGGCCCAGGGGCCCATGGGTAGAGGGAAGGCTCTGGAGATCCCCTAGGTGAGGATGATCAAGGCTATTAAGGTTTGTTAGGAATAGGTGGGACTAGAGAAGGGGCTGGTTTAGTCCTGAGAGAATGATTATATTGTGCTAACTGTGGGCTTGGCCTGCAGCACGGAGAATGGCTCATATCTGGCAGTTCTCCATCCATCTCCTCTGTGTATGTAGAATCATGGAATGGTTTGGGATGAAGGGACCTTAAAGCTCACCGAGTTCCAACCCTGCCATGAGCAGGGACCCCTTCCACTGGAGCAGCTTGCTCCAAGCCCCTGTGTCCAACCTGGCCTTGAGCACTGCCAGGGATGGGGCAGCCACAGCTTCTCTGGGCACCCTGTGCCAGCGCCTCAGCACCCTCACAGGGAAGAGCTTCCTTATCTCCAACTTGATTAAGTTTAAACCCATTCCCCCTTATCCTACCCCTGCAGTCCCTGCGGCAGGGTCCCTGTAGCTCGACACAATGGGGGTGATGTGCTTTGCTCCTTACTGTACCGGAGGCGGGTTGAGTCACCGGCTCTCCCTTTGCCCTGCAGCTTCTCCACGGTCATGCACGAGACAGTGAAGCAGTTGTCCCCCAAGTGCGAAGTGAGCTTCCTGCAGTCGGAGGACGGCAGCGGCAAGGGCGCAGCGCTCATCACGGCCGTGGCGTGCCGCATCCGGGAGGCTGGCCAGCGGTAGGAGCAAGGAGGGGTTGCCGAAGAGCTTGGTGTCAGCAAAGCAGGACATTCCCCTTCCTTCCCTCCCTCCGTACACACACACACACACGTGCAGCCTCCCCCTGCAAGCAGACTCTTAGCTTTACTTGTCCCCTTGAGCTCCTCCCAAGTGGGACTGGAGATGCTGTGTGCTTTGTTATAAAGGGTTGTCTTAGGAGTTTTACTGCATGCCATAAAACCGCCTCTCAAGTAAAGCTAAAAGTGTCTTTTGGCTGTCTACCTACATTTCCAGTTAGAGCTGGGCCTGTTCCACTCGCAGCTCTCCTCCCCACATCTCCTAACCACTCTCACATCTTCCCTAACAGCAGAAAGGATAATGCTAGAGTAATCGAGATGCTGCATTGTCACTTTACGGTTAACTGGTACCTATTTATGTCTGTCGGAGTCCTAGCGTGTCCGTGCTGTAGAAAGCAAACCTCTTTAAGATTGGGCTAAAGACCTCCATTAGTCTTTTACCCTGATCAAGGCTGTTATTATTTCCATGAAAGTCATGGTAACTTTTAAAAGCACAGGGTGCAGAACCTCAGCCACCGTGAGTCTGCACTGAGAGGTACCAAGTATCTCTGGTGGTGAGCAATAATAAAGAACCTGCTGGGCCAAGTTAGAGGTGCCCCTTTAACTGCTCCAGCAGAGCACGTGCCTGGAAATAACTGGGGACTCAGGGTCTAATCCCATTTCCCAACCTCTCTCCCGTACCCTGACTAGAGTGTAGGAACGTGGCGTGTGTCTAGGGTTGTGTTCCACCCCCTTGGAAACCACTAGCCCCCTTCCCTGGTGCATGTGCGGGTAGAGGGAGCCGCCACCACGCTGGGTCGGTCTCACCCCATGTCATGGTCCTGTGTGGCGAGTTGGGTTTGCTTCTTGGCTGTGAAATCGTTCTGTGTCTTCAGCCTTTTAGGTGACACCTGGATTCGAACACTGTGTATTTATGTTGCAAGAGATCTTATGTCTTTGTATGTACATAGTCTTGGGGGGGGGGGGGGGTTATATTGCTTAGTTTTGATTTCACCTTTTAATGTCATTTAAGAAGGGTACAGAGTACTTATATTTTTGTTTTAATTTAAAACTTTCTTGGGGTAGACTGGACAATGAGATCCCAAATTCCCGAGGGCAGGAACACCAGAGGTGTGGCCATTCTGGATTTATCACCAGAACAACAGGGATACCAGAAAGCCAGGGATGCTGTGTGCAAGGTGATGAGGCTGGGTTTGGCCTAAGGAGAGGTTTTCTTTTATCCCCCTGCCCTACCTGGCCCGTTTTGCTCTTTGAGGTATCCCAGAGCTCTGCATGGACCCTGTGTCTCTCCTGCCATCACCCCGGTCACACATCCCAAGTGTGATGCGGCGAGGCAGAGGCGATCCCAACTCATTCCACGGAGTTAGCAGCAGTATCTGGTGTCAGCTCAGCTCCATTTGGCATCCTCAGGGCTGTTTGGGAGCGTTCCCAGGGACGTGCGTGCCCACAGCATCCCTTTGTGCTCCCGTAGCATCCCTTTGTGTGCCATGGGGAAAAGCAAGAGATTCATTTTGGCCAACAGAAAAGCCTATGGATGAAGGAGATGCTGCAGTTCTCTGGGTGAGCAGAGGCTCAGATAAGGGGTGGAGATGTTCCTGTAAATATATAGCAGAAGAGAATGAAATTCCAGTGATGTACAAAAAGAATTTACCTCCTCAATCCCACCAAGAGCCCTTCAGTTTGGAGGATAGAGATTTTGTCTATTTTTAATGGATATTTTTCTACTGCTTGGGGTAACCTCATTACCAAAAGTCTCTCTTCTATGGCGAGGCTCAAGTTCAGTAGCACAACTTTAAAGCAAAATTACTCTTTGGGCATTTTAAATGCTTATTTTTTTATAAGCCTCAAGACAATTTTAACCGATAGAACCTGCCTGTGTAGAGAAGCCATGTAAGAGACTAAGTTTAGTGGAAGTTTGAGCAGATGTTAAATAAATCTGGGAAGCTGATACAGAAACCCTCTAACGTGCTACCAAGCAGTTGTGTGTGACTCCTTCCCCAGAAAACCAGCATTTTGCCTACTGAAAAATGTGGAGAAATGGGTTTTTTACCTGCTGCACCGTGCAGGAGGTTGCATTAGTGGCTGTTTTTAAACTCTTATCCAGCTGTACCCCTTTTAAAGTAGGTAGTGTTTTCATCAGGTAGCGAGCTGCATTCTATACAAGGGTAGTTTTGGGGGGAAAGTGGGAAGCGTTGGGACAAGGGGCAGCCCTTTGGTAGCTGATTCAGGCTCCAGCTCAGTGAATTGGTGGAGCAGGTGACTAAAAGGGCGAGAAGGAAATGTGAGGAGTGAAGTACCTGGTTAGTGAGGACGGGAGGAGCAGGGTAACCTCGTGCCCTTTCTCTGCAGCAGGGATGGGCTGGGACTTTACAGCAGCAGGAAGGATTAGCCCTGAGCTTGCAGGGTGGTGATGAAGTGCTGAGAGCTTTCTCCTCTCCTGGAACAGAGGAAGTAAAGGCAGGATGAGTTACTTGGAGCAGCATCTGCTCTGCGGGACTGACACAGGGAAGGAGCCCACATGGAGCTCAATGTGGATCTGAGCTTTCTGTGAGGTCAGGGGGGATTTTTGGCTGGGCTTGGGCAGATGGATGCTCACCTGGGTATCCACGAGACTCCTGTAAAGCTTTTGCTTCCCTTTTGCTTCGGCTCAGATAAAGCAGGGTCTGAAGTGTTCCTAAGTTAAAGAGTAATACTTGAAGCGCTGTAAGACACTCATGTTAACCTGTGATCACAGCTATGCCCTTGGCCGTGGCTGTATAGGGAAGGGTTTTACCCAACACTTGGAGAAGTTTGTGCTCCTTTTTGTCTCAAAGGGGGTGAGCACCAGAGATGTTTGCTGTACAGTCTGATTGTAACTTAGGTGGGACTGTAACCTCACACCAAAACGTTGCCGTGGGATGTTCTGTGAATGTGTTTAAAATGAAGAAGGGAAGATTAAATCCTAACTCTTGATATGAAGGGAAGATCAAATTATTATATGTAGGGAGAGACGGGCAGACTGGATGTGCCCAGGCTGTCTCTTCTCTCCAGCAAGAAGCACTGCTTTGTGGATTTAGGATGGCTTTTGTTTCGCTTGGTTGTTCCATGAGGATGCATTTTCTTCGCACTCCTGGCCTTGGGATGGCATCTTCTTCAGCCAGAAGCAGCAGGAGAACACTGTCTTCCACTGTGGTAGCTGCTGCACTGGAGACACTGCCCTTTCCTCCCTGGCACTTCTCTATTCGTTGGTAGTTTGGACAGAAGGTTATTGGTACTGCTTATTTTAAGTTATATATAAATGTATATGTGTGTACACACACAAACAGCAAATTACTGAGCCTTGCAAGAGGAATTTGCCTCTTTCCTTCTCAAAGGCAGAGTAGGAGAAGCTGGTATCCCATCACCCAAGATGATGAGGAGTATGTGGGATGTGGAGATCTCTGGCCTGAGAGCAGCCCTGGGGCAGCCTGTCCCAAAAGGTTTTTGCAGCCTGGGTGCTGCCCTGGCAATCTTATCTCTTATCAGCAAAGCAGGCTATCAGAGATAAGAGGGTGAAGGTCCAAGTGCATGGGAAGGGAGCAGGGAGAGGTGTAAACCAGTGATAAACCCCATAATTTCCCATTCCAGAGGTGACAGCAGCAAACTAAACTGGCCTGGGGGGATCCTTGGTCCCCCACCTCCCCTCAATCCCCTCCCTTCCCAGCAGACAGAAAGGGAAATACCTTCTTTTGCTTGCTCTGGTAGAACAGCGCTCACTGAAGACAAAAGAGGCAATTCCTGGTCACAAGGGCATTTGGAGTGAGGAAGAGTCATGTTATTGCCACATTCCTGACAAGTCTGGAGTCTTTCTGGCCTGAAGCAAAGAAAATGCATCTTAACGTGGGTGTTGGCTCCGTGCGGGGCAGGGGAGTTAAGTAAAGCCAAAGACTGTTCAGCTGCTAGCAGAAACGAGTGACTGTAGATTCACCTGATGTTGTTCTGTCGTGTTTACAGTATTTATTTTTAGGAATTGACTGCAATGATATTATATATAATAGGCTTCCTTATTTTTGTACTTTTCATACCGTTTTCCTGAGTGTGGTGTTGTACTTCTCGGCTCCCCCCTTTGCCATGATTGCTGCTCCTAGTCAGTGACAAATAAAAGAGAGAAAACCAACCAACCAACCCCCCATGTTCTGGGGTAAGCTGTGATGTGTTTTGGTTTCTGGGCTCCAATCCCTCCTCAGCTACCCCTGAGGAAGGGCACCTTCACCATGCCCCATCCCAAAGCCCTCATCCTGCCCGCTGGACTGAAGCCTGGAAGGGATTTGTTCCCTTGCATTGACAGTCCCTCCACAAGCAGGAGGGTGCAGGTAGGATCAGGACACTCACTGGGAAACAATACCAAGATGAGTTTCATGGAAGCTCTTGCTCCACATTCCACCCCATCACCCCCCTGCAGGGTGGTGGTTCCCCAGCTGCAGGGCAGATGTGTTGGCCAGATGTGTTCACACACAGCAATGGCTTGCCCCTGGGAGCCAGCAAAGTGCAAAGGCAGCTCAGGGTCTGGACCAAAATGGGTGGTGCTGAGCCCTGTGCACAAAGCAGGAGCCCTGTGGAGCACAACCCATCACTAAAGCTTAAAATTCAACCTTTATATTACACAAGAACCAGAGAGTTGTTTAAAACCAACCTGGGTTTTAGGTACCAGTTCTGCCATTAACCAGCAGCACTAACTCCTTTCCACTCAACACATGACTTGGCTTTAAAGACTTGGTATTCCTAGTTAAACCCAAGAAAACTGCTTACTAAAGTATCTAAGTACCAAGTTTGATGCTGCAGCAGGTGAATGCCTTAAAATCCTTTTGCTTCCTGCTTCTGAAGTATGACACAAGGCAAGACTACAGAGAGGTGCATCCAAGGGCTGAATCCAATAGGAAAAGCTATTCATAGCAGAAAAGGGTAGACATGGGGGAGTATTCCACTTGAAGTCCTTTATTGAACAAGTTGCCCCATTTTTCCATCTTGCCTAACACGTTTTTATCCTTGTTATAAAAGTACAAATGGGTTTCTGCTTTTCTGACATTAGAAAAAAAATAGCCTACTAAAGAGGTAAAATTCCCCCTTTGAATCCCAAAATCCTGTTGATAGGAATTCAAAACTGCAACAGAGAAACATAAAACTCAACACATACAAAGCAAGGATACAGTGTACCTCTTACACTTGACTCATTCATCAAAACCCAGAAGGAATCCCTCCTTCCCAGCTCTTCCTTTGGATGCTGTGACCGTGCTCAAGTGAAGTGAGGTTTGGGTTAACACTTATAACTCCAAGGCACTCCAAGGTCACAGGTTCCTGAGCTAAACCAGGGTGTAATCCCAATAGAACAGTTAAAACAAGTTACAAAAAGCAACATTTAAACACTGGTATTTGGTTTGTGTGAGCAGAGTAAGCTGCTGCTTGAGACTCAAATGCTGCTTGGTACATTAAAGTGTTTTCAGTCCATGGAAAACAAGTAATTCACTTAGGAACATCCTCAATAGCAAATTCACATGCTAAAAAAGTGAAATATATGCTGCAATGTTAAAAAGAAGCCCAAGAACAAGAAAAATAAACGTGGATGAGAGGCAATAAAGGCTTAAAACCAAGGTCTGCGAATCTCTACAGTTAAATAACTAACAGGATGTACAGGCAACACTTCGACAGACTTAGCTGACCCTAATGGAAAAGGAGCACAAAAGTAAGTAACATGGATCTGGTATTAAATCCCCCCAAAACATGGTAACAAAACCTACACATCCTACAATGTGAGCTCAGGATTTAACAGGTCCGTTCATAAGCTGACATTCACGCAAATTCCCTGTTTCCAATTTGGCTCAGTTTTGGACTGAAGTGTAACATTCCTTAAACCTGGAATGGCTCCTGTCTGAAGATGCAGAAGAGAAATAAATAAAAAAGAACAGGAGACCTAGTTTTGGTCCTATCTGATTTCTGCTCTTCTCTTCAGAGGTGCATAGGAGGATACTAAGGCCATGTATCTTTGCCACAGTGTAAGGCCTTGGTTGGTGCCAAGCTCTGTGCGTCAGCAGGGCGTTTAACGGGAAGCAGGCATGCAGAGTTACAGAAGTGCTACTGGATTCCACCAAAGAGGTCTCCCAAATGATCTGGCAATTCCTCACTGCTTCTCTGGTGATGTGTACAAGAAGTTACAGCAGATATAGACTGGGAAGATCAGGAGTCTACTGTCCAAATACATCACTACCTCCTCCTGCAAAGCAAACACGGGGGAATGTGCACAGTAAGCGATGCTCTTCGAAGTACATCAAAAAGAAAACCAGATTGATGACACTATTCCATATATTTTAATTAACTACTTATCAAAAAGAAGATAAAGAAATCACCCAAGACAGTAATTCACCTTCAGCAGATGTTTTATAATATTAACACTGATAAGATACTCTCAACATGCTTATAACCCTCTGACCCAGTGCTGCACCAAAGATAAGAAGCATATGAAATGGCTGAGCAAACTTTCCCTTCAAGCACACTGGAGACTTTTCTGCCTCTTATCAGTTTCCAGAGGTTTAACCACCCAGGCTACTCAGAGCAGTATGTACTTTAAAGAAAGTTACAGCTTTTTGGTAGGAAATGTTGGGTTTTACCCTAGAAACTGGGTTTGGGGTAGTAAAACTGTGCATGCCATCCCTAGTGCAGGATAAAGCTTCAAGGAGAAGTTTTCTATGTACTCATGATGTATTTACCACTGCTGATGAGGATGTAAAAGACTTGGTGATCAAATCTTTCATATCCCTTACAGAATTCTGCTGTCACCAATGGGTAGAAAAGGGCAAGTTCTCTTAAGAAAACTCTTCTCTGAGGCTCTGTCCTGCCTTTGGCTGGGATAGTTGATTTTTCTTCCTAAAGCGCTGTGTTTTGGCTTTATTCTGAGAATAATGCTGACACAACAGGCTTTCATCTCTTGTTTATAATAATAATTAATTAATCAATAAATGCCAGCCTTGAACAATAGGCAGACACTTTTAACTCTTCAGCTTCCAATATAAGAGAGTGTTCAAACTCCAAATTCAACTCTAAGTAAGGAGGAGTCTGATGGAGATATTGTTCAGTGCTGGAAGTCTGGGAAAGCAAGGAAGAGCTCAGCAGAACACTACACTGGCAGCAGATAGCTTCAGCAGCAACACAGGACTATCATTATTACCAATACTAATGAAACCCATGCTATCCTACTCTAGTTACACTTCACACATCAGCTTCATATCCACTACCTATAAAAGGAAACCTGAGATTCCACATAAGCAACAGCTCTTCAAAAGCCTCGTGCACTTCTCAGCATTTTTGTCATGCTTTGGACTCCACAATTCAAGTTCAACAGCTCCAAAACACACAAACATACCTGGTCCTTCTCAAAGCTTAGGATCTGATACCCTGTTGTTATACTGCGAGTAACCCTTCCGGTGCTGTCGAAAGAGGCGAGATGTAACCTAGGGATGTAACAACAGGTAAATTACCTAAGTCTGCCATAACTTAGTTTTTCCAACACCAAGAGTTTTTCCCAAGGAGACAGAATACCATTTTCAACCCTAACTGACTTGGAGGCAGCAAAACTGCAAGCACAGATGGAAAACTTCATTATGGTTTAGACATTCTGGCATACACACAGGGTCTGCTTCTTGGCTGCTGCTTACCTGAAGGCTATGGTTCTCCGAGGCTGCAGACTGACTGATCCACTGCACGGCTGACTCAGTGTATTCCGTTTAAAGGTGATGCAACTATTTGTGTAAGTAACAAGGAGGTCAAAGCCAAAGTTGAACCCAGTCCAGCGCCAGCAGTACTGGAGAAAAGAAGGGAAAGAAACCCAAACAAACCAGTCTGAGTATTGGCTACAACACAACGATAAGCACCGCTTCTCCAACAGAAGATCTAAGGCACAAGCTCTTCCCTGTGAGGGTGCTGAGGCGCTGGCACAGGGTGCCCAGAGAAGCTGTGGCTGCCCCATCCCTGGCAGTGTTCAAGGCAAAGTTGGACACAGGGGCTTGGAGCAAGCTGCTCCAGTGGAAGGGGTCCCTGCCCGTGGCAGGAGTTGGAGCTGGGTGAGCTTTAAGGTCCCTTCCAACCCAACCCATTCTATGATTTCTGAGTAGCACTTAACTACAGTTCTTATTCATGCCTAAAGCACTCCTTGGAGTACAAAATCCTTAGGTTAAGCAACTTCAGGAGGGAAAAAAATCTGGGTTTTTTTCACAGGCCCTATCACCTAAAGGCACATATATATGGGTATGGAACACACAGGGCTTCTGGCTGTGACTCGTACACATTTTTATCCAGAAAACTTCCCTTTCCAGCCAAAAATGTCTTTTTCATCAGGGATCAGAGCTATGTTTTAACTCTGTATTTTACAAGTCTCAAATGACAAGTCATGGCTCCATTCCCTCCTTTCACACCCTAAAGCTTTCCCCAAGCATGGCCTTGCTTGCCACCTAAGAGCACAATTAAACCACTAATTCCTTATTCATCACACAGACAGCAAAGTGCTTTCATCCTTTTAGGGAGAACAAACTCATTTCTCGCACGTATCATCTCCACCACATCTTTTTGATGCAGTTTGACAATTAAGAGCAACATGTTTTGGAAATAGCCAACATGTCCAAGCCACGCCAGTGGTGCTCAGTTAGCCACGTGCCACACTTACATCACCATCCTCGGCAAGCTTTCGGCCACACCTCATGCTGTTTCCTTCCAGCTCCTCTTTATTTATTTCTTCAGGCCTACAAAAAGAAAAGGGCATCTTTAAGGACACTTGAACAGCTCTGGATGGAATTTCAACGTGGGAAAGGTGAACAGACCTGAGCAAACTGGTTTGACCACACAAGTGACCCTTCTTTGAGCAGAGGTTAGGCCAGGCAACCTTTCAGGATCCCTTCCAAGCCAAATTGTCCCATGAATATCCAACTGCTCTGCAACACTGCCCTATAAACCATGCTGGGACACCTCAGTGTGTCGCAGAACAGTTTGGGTTGGAAGGGACCTTCAAAGCTCATCCAACTGCCTGCAGTGAGCAGGGACATCTTCAACTAGATCAGGGTGCGCAGAACCACATCCAGCCTGGTGTTAGATATCTCCACGGACGGAGCATTCACCAGTTCTCTGGGCAGCCTGTGTC